AAGTTATTATAATGCGCATCTTTTAGTCACCAAATAACCAATAAATAATTTTATATTAGAACAATAATGCATTTCATAATAAATCGTAGAAGTTTTGGATTTTTCTAAATATTTATAATAATTGAATTATTGTATAAAATCACTGTGTATCGTTAAAATTAACTAAGTTTAGTACGATTTTGTATAAGTAATTATAAACTATAGCGTTACTCTTGCTCTTAAAAGTGGCACTCCGAGAGCCATCTCTGGAGAAAAGGGCCCAAGTTAAAAAGGGACCGCCCTTTTGAAAATTCACGCCCACAGACCAATAAAGAAATCGTAGATACGATTAGAAAATTTCCCACCAATACAAAATTTGGCCGTTATCGCTTCGTGGGCCTGAGGAAAGGGATTTCCACCCAACCACCCACTGCTTATAAAAAGCTCTGTACAAGACTGGAGGAGTGGAGTGAGTACCAGGAAGTGCCTAACAAGAAGTGACTACCAATGAGTGAGTGCTGGAGGAAGCATCAAAGAAGAAAATTTTGAAGAAGTCAGCCAAAATTCAATTAAGAAGTCACCCAATTACATCCAGAATAGAGAGAAAGAGAGAGCGCAGCCTTAATAATAAGTAATTAAATAAAATAAAAGTATGTAAAACCTTATATCTGGCTATCCTTTTCTTTCTTTAAGCAATCCGTTTTTGGAAATTCATCAAGCGTGAGTCTGGTGAATTTTCATTAAAGTCCCTTAAGAACACATTAAGCGTGAGTCTGGTGTGTTCGTAATAACATTTGGTTATTACATACCGCGCTAGTATACAGTTTTCTCTACGCAACAATATTGCTCGTCCCGGCTTATGTGTTACACGATAGCCAAATCAGAGCAACCCTGAGTTTAGGCTTACTCCAAGCATACCTGAGAGTGACCCCGACGTCAGAGCTTCAAACTAACGTAATTTATATGTTTGCTGTATCGAATAATTACGATAATTACTCGTTTAAATCGTAAAATTTAATAACGACACCATTTACTTGATTAATTATTCAAATAACATACAAGCTTTTACTGATATTAAATCTAATGTATATTTTCAGCCAGGTTAATACCAAAACATTCAAAACTAATATGTAATTTGCGTATTTACTGTTTAATTTACAAGACTTACTAATGGTAAGTGGAGTGTAAAAATTTTATAAAGTTAATGATTGAAATAGAAATTATCGGAATGATTCTCCTGGAAAATTGAGACAGAATGCAGCAATGATAATAATTTCAAATATATTATGGCTGACAAAAACCCACAAAACAAAGAAAACATAGCATTTCGTATATACGTCTAGCGGTATAACGAAGAAACGTGATGAACAAGAAAAGAAATATGTTTTCTCACTCTCAAACTGAAAACTTTGTACCTAGCAAGAGCAAAAAAAAAACGTAAAACGCAACCAAAATTTCATAGTCGCTTAACTTTCGAAGAAAAGACACAGCGGCGCATTTCAAAGCGAAAACACGAGTATAATGCGTGGAGGTATATGCACGTGTGTAAACGAGAGAAATGTCAGTTCGCGCACTGGAAACATATTCTATGCATACATACATGTTCAACGGCTGCGAAGCACACCGCAAACGCGCCGCTGTACACACAGCGCGAGTGAGGGCGCGCGTGTCCGGTTCGCCCCTCAACGTTAAATTACAGCATTTAAATAATTTCATTTAATCTCACACTTGCCGAGCGAGTATCCGGTTTCGCGACGCGCGCCACATATGTTTTTTTCTTCTGCTCCGCGCTAATTTCTGAAAAAAGAACGAGTGTTCCCGAGCGTTTCGCTTTTCTACATAGCAGATAGTTTTAAATATGTATGCAATATTGAGAATGAGAGAGAGAGAGAGCGAGCACAGAAGAGGGAAAAATCAGATGAAAGCTTTCGAACGCGGTGTTGTAAATTGACGACTGAAAAATTCCCGATGACGAGCAATTATTGAGAGGATGCATCGGGCTATTGTTCGAAATTTATGCCAACGTAAAATGAGCCAGCCCGAAGCTTTGATAATAATTCGAGCGTCAGCGCGTCGCATCGATATATGTTAATGTTGCGCGCGGACGGCCTTTTAAACGATAAGTCAAATTTCATCGATCGCGAGCGCAACATTCGTGCATCGGCTTTTTTTTCGCGGCCGAAATTTCCGAATGTTCGACATCGCCCCGTATTGTTGAATAATTTCGCATTTAATTATCGTTTATTAATGCGCTGTCTTTCTCCCCATTGTCGGCGCATACATGTATACGCTAAATGAAAAACGACAAAAATTATGCGATATATTTATTCTAATTGGAGCGCGCTTTTATCATGATCGTGTCGCGCACGTGACCTACCTCCTTTAATTAGCGAACTAAAACCTCTCTATTTTTCTTCGGAAATAATGTCTTTCTAGTACTTTACTTTATTCACCTCCTCGATTTTCCACTTTATAAGTCGCACCCGGGAGCCCCTTCTTTCCGTTAATATAACCCAGAAACGACTGGTAAAAAGGAAATAGAAAAGCACGGACAAGTCTGCTACTCGCGATGAAAAAGTTGAAACGTCGGAAATTTGCTTGATCTCTGGCTATGTGCACTTGTAGGAGGGGGAGGGGGCGAGGGAGTCGACGCGTGTTTTGGGTCAAGGAAAGAGATGATCCTCGGGACTTTTTCGCTCGTTTGTTGTCGCGGCAATGAGATTGACTTTGCGGAAATTCGGCTGGAGTAGAAAAAAAGAAAAAACCAAAGGAAAGTCTCTAAGGTGACTGCTTCTATGTGCATTTGAGCCCCCAAAGAGAGTGATAAAGATGGAAAGTGGCCGGCTTTCTGCTGTGGATTTGCATGTTTATTTCCACTCCTTTAATTCCGGCCAGCGCGCGAGTTCTCGCGGAAATTATTTCCGTCTCGCGTGGAAGAAAGAGTTCTCGTCGCCGGCGACCCAAAGAAACTTTTTCCACTTCTTTCCCAACTGCTATTTCTCTCGCGTGTATTTTTGCATTCTCTCTCTCTCTCTCTCTCTCTCTCTCTCATGGCCTCTCTTCCCCGCAGTTTCGCTCTTCGAGAGAGAATGGAAGAGGACCAAGTTAAAGTGGCTCCGTAAAAAATAAGAAGACTGCCGCGCGAACGGATAATGAAGCGGGCGCGCCGATCGAGCATTAATAGGAAGGCAACGCAAGCTTTGGAAAATACCGCGGAGTCGGCGGATTTTCTCGTGGACGCGATGAAGAGGGAAAAGAAGAAGGGGAAAAAAGGATCAGAACATCGCGACGGGGGAAGGAAATATACCGATGCAGCGGGAAATACACGTGTCATGCGCTTATTGGTTGTAAAACGGTCGGAGCATCTGCCGGTTATGTGCAAGCTCGATGGACCCTAAAAATCCACTTTTGCCCGCGCACGGACGACGGGTAATAAGTCCTCTGCGCCCGACCGCGAGTCGGAGAGTCGACAGATCTCTACCATCCCAACGCCGTTTTCCCCCGGATATACTGCCCATAAGCCTGACAATCATATTTCTTATTTCTTATCTCTTTTTTTCTTTCTTGTCAATGAATACGCTCCCCTCTTTGCTGCTTCCTGGGTATAACGATGTTGTAGAATGAAATTCAATCATTTATTCTACTTGTTTCTAAATGTTCATTGACTTACTTTTAACTAATACTATTGACTTTCGCGAAAATTGCTGTAAATATTTTGTCAAAATATCGCTTGAATTCCCCTCAATTTCGTAAAAAGAACTTTTCATTTCTCGGTCGCTACTCGGTTGAGTGAGTAATAATTGGATTCTCGTTGCTTGCGAAGATTATACGGAAGTAATATTCTCAAGAATATTTGGTAGCAGTGTAAAATGTCATCCATTATCGTATTGAAACAGCCTAGCAAGTATATTTTTACGATGAGATAAACAAATAAATAAATAATTGTTAGCGCGCTATCGAGGGATTTGAAAATTTGAAGGAAAAAATTAAGAGCCGTAGCGCATGGAGATCGTTGGCTGTGGAGGGGGCAAAAGTTCAAAAGAGCTCGTTAAATCGAACAACTTTGAGCTGAAATGTTTGCTGGGCGCTCTCGGCACTAGATACATAAAGTCTCTCTCTCTCTCTCTCTCTCTCTCTCGCGATAAAAGAAGAGCAAAGGAGTCGAAAAAAGTTGAAAGGATTTTTTCGCATCTTAGCTCGAGAAGAGAGAAGAGACATTCTGCCAATGAAGCAAGGTAGAAGAAAACTGTAGAAGAAAGTTGTGTGTGTATCGGCGTGAGAGTGCATGGTGTGTGCAGTGTGCAGCAGCTGCGCAGGGATAAACTCCACGGAGCGATATTCACTGGGCTACGTACGTGTGTGCAAGTGCGTGTGTTTGTGTTTTAATAAGAGCTGCCCCGTGAGATTAAAAAAATTCGTGGCTCGATGGCCTCGTAACTTTTGATGAAGAGAATTAGGTAAACGATGCACCCCCCCCCCCTCCCTTCCTTTTTCGCACTCTCTCCTCATCCCCTTGAGCAGACGCAGGGATATCAGCAGCTCGCTCGCGCACGGCCCAGAGTGAAAAGCCAAAAATACCGGAATCTGAATATTCAACACCTTACTCTTTCGACGAAGCGAGCTTTTCTCCTCTTTTCTTTTCTTGTGTTAAATGTGTCAAGTTGGAATTGAGATTGCACCTTGGAAATTCAAATATTATGAGATCCTTTGCATTCCAGACTCGCTTTCGCGCCACGGCCCCGACTTGCTTCCACCCGGCGTGAAAAGAATTACAATAATTTTATATCTTATTTTGCATAATGAAAGATATTATTAAGCCTCCCTTCAAACCAACTGTTTCGTTGAAATTTCTGGCTTTGCCAACTACCTTTTTCGCATTTTAATCAAAGTCCAACGAAAAGGACGAAAAGTAGCGCAATACCCGGCGGCGCAATTGTGCGCAACAACCGTTCACGCCCAACACTTTCAGCGTTAGTTTATTTGGATTGTAAACTGTCGAACAAGCGAAGCGAAATGCTTACCTGAAATGCCATCGTACGTCCACCAATCATCCCAGCTCGCGTTGGTTTCTGCAACAAAACATGGAAAGAAACTTGATTACAACGCTTGCCAAGAATTTCTGTTCGCGCGCCAACGTAATCCGTTAAATATTTGACACTCGCGGAAAAGAGGACGAGAGGCGCGCACAACCAAACTAGACGGGACGACAGGCACGAAAGTAAGTGAAATTTTGAGGTAAACATCGCGCGCCACCGCCGCCGCAGCCATACAGGGAGAGCTTCATCAAGGGGCGCGCGGGCGTCGCCGCGTTGTGTTGCGCAGCGGTATAAAAGAGGCATTCATAATTTAGACTGCCGGCGAACGTGGGCTGCGAACGCTGACGGTCGAGCTGGACAAAAAACCTACGCGGCGCAGCTCAATGGCGAGTGAATAGCGAAGTAGTTTGTGTCGCGCGTGTACTGCAATTTTCAGCGTGTTTTCGCATATGCATGTGCCTGATGCTTCGACTGTCTCGTGCGAAGCAGCTCTCTGCTGCGCGAGGAAAACAGGATTATTTTGGGCTCCCCTCGAAATGGCCGTATAGCTATGCGTATAAATGTTGACCTTTACAAACGCTCCAGTTGCAATGCTAAATTGCTTAGTTGCTTGCTTCCGAGCCATTGCTTTACCTCTCTGTCACTCCGGCGCCGCTCTGCCGTAATCTCATTTTTATTCGCTATCGTCGATTCAACTTCAACAATCATGACTAATCCACGCTTTTATTTCGTAGCATTTTCAAAACAAGATACTCTGCGCATTAAACAATATTTATCACCGCGTCTTTCTCTTTCTCATTGTCACGGCTTTTTAAGGATTTTTTCAGTTTAATTTACATCTAATTGCTTATCATTTCAAGTAAAAACTACTCTTTTTGCACAATTGCCGATTGGTACTTCCAATAGAAATATCGCATGGTGCTTCTTATTCGACTACACACTAAGCTTACCGAAATGAGCACGAAAATATAGACGTAATTAATTTTCAAAAAATTGACATATAGCAGATTGTACGAAGCGATATTGCTCGAATGCGGAGCAAAAAAATGAGAGTCGAGCCGATATCATCGAAAAACAAAAAACAAAAAAAAAAAAAAAACGGCGATTGCCTGAAGCAAAGTGCAATTTCGCGAGGTATCTGAAAAATACGATGGATGAGAGGGAAGGCCTGCTTATGCCGACACGCATGGGCTCACGCGCCAGTGCACTGACATACGAGTGGCGCTTGGCCTGAAAGGGCGCGAGGCGTCAAATCCCGATGCCAGCCGCGCGCGCGCGCTGAAGAGCGGCAATCGAGCTTTCGCGAGCGTGGCGCGCATCGATCAATCGCCGCGCACACGTGCATGCATACAGAGACGTCCCGCCGGCTCGGTGGCGACGCGTCCCATTATCGATCTATTGATTCCTCTGGCGTGCTCAGCCATTCTACTTTGGGTGCGGATGTGTCACCACGTTTGCTCTCGCGTGCGCTCGTGTCGGTTCTCTGCGGAAACTGACCCTTTCGGGCTACGACATCGCGTCATTTTTGCAATTTCGACGAGCTGTTTGATGGGCATCGCGCGTCTATCGGGACACTACGGCGAATCGCGAAATCAATCTACAATTCGTAGGAATCGTGCAACTTGCACGTCATCAGCGTTGCTCATCAGAATCAATCTGATACCATTCAAAATTCGATAATAGCGTATTTCTCGTGCTACGATAAAATGCGCGAGTGTCGTGATGATTATTTCGAAGCGCACGCGATTACGTATCGCCAAAGCAAATATCGACTCGCTGAATTCTCTGGCACTTCTTGTTTTATCTTCGAGGCAACGCTCGCGCGTAAGCGAGCTCAATCTTTCGTAAACCGCTCAACAAGAATGTCAGAACCTGTAGTGAAAATACAAAGCGGTCGGGTGCGCGGTGTTATTGAAAAGCACGAAGATGGTTTCGACTATTTTGCCTTCAAAGGTATTCCTTATGCAGAGACGCCCACTGGTGAATTAAGATTCAAGGTAATGAATTACAGTCCACTCTTAACTGAATAATTTCAGAGGTTCAGTTTCATTTCGTATTGCTATTTCAAGTGTTCGTTTCAAAGTGGTCTTATTTAAGCGGCAGAAAATATTTAGTAGTTGAATGAAAACTAAGGCGCAATCAAACTTCACCGAGTTAAGCGAGATTTTGAAATATTTCTGAAACGCCGCTATTCAATTATTACAATTGCATATTAAAATTATGAAACTGATTCAAGTTGTAATCGAAACCTTAATCTCATTGGTAATTGTAGATAAGAGACGCTGTTTACTTGCGAGCAATCATTTATACGATGTTTTTTTCCTCGACCAGGACCTAGCAAAAATTAAATATTGGATATCGTGCTTATTTGCGTTTATTTAACAAACATTTGTTAGGATCCAGTTCCCAAAAAACAATGGACCGGTATCAGAGATGCAACCACGTATAGACCAATGTGTGCTCAGTACGAATTATTATCAAAAGTAATAAGCGATGAAGACGACTGTCTTAATTTAAATGTATTTACCCGACAAATCAATGAACCTCATGCGTGCAAAGCTGTCTTAGTATGGATTCATGGTGGCGGATTCTTTTTCGGGTGCTGTAACGATATGTTCAACGGACCTGACTATCTCATTCGGAAAGATATTGTTCTCGTTACGATTCACTACAGACTTGGAATTTTCGGTACAAACATTTCCACGTATGAATGAATGTTTGTTATTTTGTTATAAAAATTATTATAGTTTGTGCTTTCTTTAAATAGGGTTTTTGGATTTGGAAGATGAAGTAGCATCGGGAAATCAAGGTCTGAAAGACCAAGTGATGGCTTTGCAGTGGATAAAAGATAATATTCGCGTGTTTGGAGGTGATCCCAACAATGTTACCATTGCCGGTGAAAGCGCGGGATCTGCATCGGTTCACTATTTGAATTTATCGCCGTTATCTAAAGGTTGGAACAGCTGACATCTTGATGAAAATTAAATATGAAACGCATGGGTATTTCTCAGGACTCTTTCACAAAGCCATCTTACAAAGCGGGGTCGTTTTTAATCCGTGGTCTTACATCAAGAATCCGAGGCAAAATGTTATCAAGTTATGTGCGCAACTTGGTAAACAATTGGAAGATACTAAAGAAATATTTGAATTTTTGAAAACAATCGATACCAAAACTCTCCGTGAACAACAAGAAAAATTAAGACTAGCTATCGTGAGTTGTTTGACTAAACGGTTTAGCAAATCAGTTATATTATGTGTATTTTCAGGGATCATTGCCATTTGGTCCAGGAATAGATGCAAAATCTCCAAGGCCGTTCATGCCAATCGCTGTTGAAGTTAGTGCTAGAGAAGCTGTTCAAGTTCCATGTCTCGTTGGATACAACAGTCGCGAAGGACTATTCTTTTTACACGGTATTGATGATGTTAAAATAGGGCATGATTACACCTAGAAATAGATGACATTGTCTTTTCAGAGATGACGAAAGATGGCTCAGGCAGCATGGTCGACGCACATTTTGATATGATACTGCAATCATTTAACCAGCGTACAGTTGACGTATTGAAGAAGCATCATTTGAGCTTCCAACAGATAAGGCGACTGTATTACAAAAGCGAGCCAATCACGAAAAAGAATAGAGATAAATTTGCAGATATCATCGGCGATTTATTTTTCATCGAAGGAATACACCAATTTCTAAGAATACAGTCGGAAAAGAGTTCAGCACCCACGTACGTCTACCAGCTTTCTTACGACCCCGAACAATCCCTGACCAAATCTTTGGCTTCTGATGCACCACCAGGTATAATTTCCATTTGCTTTCTTTCAAGCCCATGTATAATTTCATAACTGCATTTACAACCTACAGGTGTGGGCCACTTCGATGATGTATCTTACTTATTCAAGATGCGCTTTTTTGATCAGATAGGTCTGGAACAGCCGAAAAAAGGCAATGGACGTTACAAAGTTATGGAACAAATGACAGAGATGTGGACCACCTTTGCAAAATACGGGTTTGTACATAGCGAATTCTCATGCTTCATGGATGCGTAACTTGTGTTAAAATAAATATGTAATGTCACTTGTTGCGCTCCCGACTAGGAGACCAACGATCGAGATCACAGAGTTGATCCCTGCATATTGGCAACCGTTAGCTGATGGCACAGTTATCCGTTATCTGAACATCGAAGAAGATCTAACAATGCAATCTACGTTAAATATCGATCTGAAATATTTATCAGCCACAAGCATAAGAACTTGAGCATTGATTGTATCAGTAAGCTTCTTCCCAATAAGCCATTAAACTTTCAATCAGCAATGAAAAAGCCAAGTTTACTCTTTTACTCTCAACACTGCACTCATTGGCCGCGGCGAAGCCGAAAGTTCATCTAAAACTAGTCGAACGCAGGCAGGCAACAAGGAGAGGTCGGTACGTGCAAGAGTAAACTAATTGGGGGCAATAGTCAAAGTTTGGACGCAATAGGAGAAGGACGTGAGGAGCAGCCTATTTTTCGAACCGGCTAAAGCTCAATCTAAGTCGAAAATCCGTGCCCCGCTGGTTCGAAGAGTCGTACAGTACAGTACGGCTAGGAGCTGTCAAAGTTCGTTCCGCACCGCAGATTCTTGCACGTATATGTAGCGTCGGCTCTGATTGTCGCTCGCGCGACCGACAGGTGGCTAGCTCTCGCGGTAACAGTCACAGCCTATTTCCCTTGAGCGCCAACCGTTCGAGAGCTATCTCTCCCTCTGTCTGTCTGTCTCTCTCTCTCTCTCTCTCCCTCTCTCTCTCTCTCTCTCCCTTTCAACTCGACCACAACAGCTTTGCTGTCTCGGCATCTTCTCCTCCTGCCGTTTAAAAATTTACACCCGGGACTGGCGCGTTTGTGCGCAGCTGAGAGACAGAGCGACATACCGTGACCGTCGATATATACATGTATGCATGTGTGACTGAGTTTCGATTGTTTGGACCCCCGAGGCGGGACGCTTATCTGACAGACCAGTTTACTCTGCCTCGCTTTTTTTTTTATATCCTCGT